TCCCAGGAAGTTGAGGTTGTTTCAGAATACTCTCAGGTCTGCTGCGGTAATAGTATAGATTGTGAAGCGCATAGAGCTTGCTGTTGAGCAGGGATTTGCGCTATACAAATGCTATCTATTATAATAACAAAAATAATCATTTTATGCCCAAAAATTGACGAGTGCCTTTTTCCACTGCGTCGTGACCAAGGCATCCAAATATAAAAGTCTTCGGTATCCTCCGTCCTGACACACGTTATGTGGCAGGTCAAGCGTGAAGTCTGCTAGTTCAGGGCAGGACAGGACAGGAGCTATTTATTATTCACTGCAGGTGATAGTGGGGTAGGCAGGGATAGGCCGCGGGCAGAATATTACTGTGGTAACCTTGACACAGGTAAGACGCCTTTTAATGTTATCATTCCGCGTTCGGCATGCTGCTATTATGAATAGTTTCAAGATGCATTATTATCCAATGATGTAGATTGACGTTCCGAGATATTAAGGGGTTTTTTTCCTTATTATTCTTACTTCAAAAAACACTGATTACCATATTATTGTGATTTGTGTAGTGTTTATAAAAAGATGTATTGGGTTTAGTGGAAAGAATTATAATAATTTGCTATCGGATCCGGTTTTTTTGTCATTGTATGAAAGGATTCTTAAATGTCCAGATTTGTTCACATGGCATTTGTCGTGTTTTGCCCAAGAACTGTTCATAAAATCATAGACCAATCATCGTGGTAATTGATGCAAGTGTAGTAAGACTTTTGACTAGGTTCCCTTTTTCCGGTTTGGTTTGCTTGTTTACTGGTTTCTTTGTAGATCTGGGATTTTTTTCTTTTATTGTGGGTGGAGAGGTATTTGAGGTGAAGGTTGTTTTTGTAGGGTTTTTTGTTTTTCATTTGTTTGTTTTGTGGGGGGGGGGTGGGCTCTAAGTATTTTATTGAAGTAATAGAAGCGCTATTGGTAGAAGTCAAGATTTTAAAAAAACAGAGAGTTGCTTTAACATCAGCAACAGCTACACAGCAGCAAAAGCAAAAAAGGGGGGGGGAGAAAGAGAGAGAGAGAGAGGGGGGGAGGGAGAGAGTGAATGCAGAAAGAGGGTGCAGGGGAAAGGGGGGAATGCGAGGGCAGGGGGGTGCCGGAAGAGGGGCATTACAACAGAGAAATGCTTCAACTTTCGACGTTAACATTTGCCACCGCTCCATGTTTAATTGTCTTTAAAACTGTCTGATAATACAAGGATAAACATATTTCTAAGTGGGCTTAGATTGACTGTTAGGGAACATCACATGTGGACAACGCACTTTTGTTCTTCGCTATTGTTGTTTCTGCACTGTCATTGCGCTGTTGTTGTGTTGTTTGTCTTTTTTTTTTACCTTTCTAACCCCAGCCATTTTTTTGCACTCCCTGACAAAAATTGATGTACTATCTTTGTAATGAGGTTTAGATAATAACCTACAACAAAGTTTAAAGGTAAATGAACAAATGTTTGGCCGCCTCAACTATATCAAACCTTATCCAATTGGGACTTGACAAAACTTTCTGCAGCGTGCACTGGGTTTTAGCAAACCTACCCCGACTGACCTGGGTCAAGTGGGGACACTGTGTAAACTCGTGTAAAAGTTTCTTCCCGAAGGCACAACGTTAGGCACTGAAAGGGGTACGAATTTCAAACCACTCATCAATTAGCAACTTTCCAAAAACAGCACCCATAAAACAGCAACCTTCAAAATAACAACACACATCAAACAACAAAACATTTCAAAACACAAAAACATACATCAACGACACCTTTCAAACCACAACAACACACATTAAACAACACCTTTCAAAACACAACAACACCCAACAAACAACACCTTTCAAAACACAACAACACACATCAAACAACAACTTTCAAAACACAACAACACACATTAAACAACAACTTTCAAAGCACATCAGCAATACACATCAAATTACAACTTTCAAAATTGAGCATCATTAAAGACACCAAACACAACATCCGTCTAACAGCAACTTTCAAAACACAACACACATTAAACAACAAGTTTCAAAACATAACACACATCAAATATCAACTTTCAAAATTAATTGAGCAACATTGATGACACCAATGAATGAGAATATCTGCACTCTTTAAAGACTTAACATCCGATCAGTAAAAGACCAAAAGCAAAGTTGCTGCATATTTTGAACCATCGTAATCTACAAATCAGAAACACGAACTAGCATTTCATAGAATGCATGCTGTTGCCTTCCTTTATACTTTATACATTTCAGATAATGAAAACAAAATTGAAAAACCCGTTTGACTAATAAAATTATGCTCTCTCTCTCTCTCTCTCTCTCT